TATTAAAAGAATATAAAATAGGACATTCAGAGATAGAACCCAGCTCAAGTCATAACAGAAGCAATTGAATATGTTTTCATCAATTCTGTTACTTTCTTGGTTGGATTTTTTTGTGCTGCAGAGATAAATGTGAAATGTCTGTTCGAATGCTATCAAAAGAGAGATTTAGTATGGTCATATAGGATAAAAAGAGACTGACAATTTTGTGGAAGTCAACAAGATACCTAAAAGCTATATATTTCTTCTAGGTCAAAAATGTAGAAAAAGTCTCTGCAGGCCCTGCTAAAGTAGACAGTTATCCTTAATATTTTCACTATGGGTCCAAATATGCATGATATACACCAAGTAGATTAAGAAATGGAAGAGTATCTTCTATTCTCTAATTGTAAAGTACTTCTTTGCACTGTGATAAAACCTCAAGATTACCCAGAATACTTAAGAGTTGCACTTCAGATTACCCAGAATGCTTAGAGTTAGAATTCGCAGCATCTGTGTGAGCATTAACCAGAAAAGATAAGATCCATGTTTCCACGTGTTTATAATCCATTACATTTCAAAACTCGGTAACAAGGCATCACCTGTAATACCTAATACATATTCTACATGGTCTTAAGGTGATATTCCACCTCAGTCTACCAATGCCAAAGTATAAACATCAAAAGAATTTCATCTCCATAGGTGTGCACTTAAATATATAAATCTATTATCTCTAGATCAGGTGTCTCCTGGCCCCTCCTTCCCTTTGAGATATAAATTAGATAATTCAAAGGAGATGGAAAGAAGCAGGGAGTAAGTTGCTGGACCTGGTCATCAACCTGGAGCTACCAACTGGCCAGCCTCTGGGGTGTCCCCCACTTGGTTATGCTCTGCAATACTGAGGGTCACTAGCTTGTTCATACCCTTGGGAACAATTCCTCAAAGGCGGACCAGAGAGCTTTGTGCACTCCATTACTGTATTTTTCTGACATAATACACATAACTTATTAAGCAGAATTAAATCTTTGATGAATTCACAGTGCTTCAAAGTCATTATTTTGACGTAAGTGACAATCTTAGACAGCAAACTGTATGAGATTAGACAGATGCTGTATTGACCAAAGGAAAGATCCTGGAGTTGGCTTTTTGACTAAGACTCTGATAAGTGTTAGCTTTATTTTAACTCTTACTTTCAAAAATGAGACACAGTCAACAACACCATAATATCTGACATTAGGATGCATTTAGGAAAAAAACGGTATTTGATAGGACTTGATCCATGTAGTAAGTAAAACTTCACAAGGGAAAATCATGGAATCATAAAACTAGAAGGAATAATTAAGATCTACCAGTCACATTCCCTTTTCTTCTTATATCTGAGGAAAATGAGAGCAAACTATATAAAGCTATTTACCCAAAGCCACCTGGCCAATCATCAGAAGGACCAGAACCCTTGTCTTTGACTCTCCTGGCTATAAAGATTGCTGAAGATGAATGTGTTAGTGTTTACTTGGTTCTCTAAACACTAAATTCACTAATGAATGATATATTCTCTGTATAAATCGATGGAGTACAAGTTAAACTTCTGAAAAGAGCAAAATACATTTCAGAAAGCTGCTAAATTTACTACTCACAGTAGCGTGACAACAGAATTTCACTTCACTACAACTTGTTGTTTCATTATTGCTTCACAGGGATACAATAAATCCTGGAAAACTATGGTTTTGAAGTTGTGTTCACTCTCCTGGATCATTAGGATATTACTCTGCAGATTTCAACAATAACGTATCAACTTTTAGTCTAGGACCACAAACCAAAAACAAAAAATAAATTAATGGTTTTACAAATGTCTCACAGTCACTAGAAAAATCTCCTACTTTACAGAAATACTTGAAATTATTTAAAGTTAAATAATTCTCTTGGAGTATTTAAAGTTTAATTATTGAAATATGAAAAGCAATCTTCAAAGATGTTGTGCTTGAATTAAAATAATATGGAGCCATATTTTACAGCATGATAACAATGTTTTAGAAACAAATCTAAACTTGTTCATACTAAAGAAAGGAACAATGTTTTTTAATTTAAAGCCATCTCTACTATATCCAGTAACTCCCTTGTAGGAGAGTTTAATTTGCTAATTAGACTGATGGTACCTGCCTTCATTGTGACTTATGGGTAATTAGATGTTACAACTGAACTACTAAGAGAGAATGGACCCCAAAGGGCAGTCAACCAGATCATTATCTGAGGAAAGCAAGCTAATTATCACCGTAAAGTTCAAACTAGAGGAACTCATCTAAATATCTAGTGGACTCTCTGGGGTCAAATCCTTACGTTTAGTGAATTCACACCATACAATCTTTTTATTACATTAAAAAATGGACTTTGATATAAGAAAAATTTACAGAATCAGAAAATGTGTACAGAGGGAAAGAAAACTCACAGAGCTAGACCCACTGAGTTCCAGAGAATTTCTTATAAACCACGGAATATGGAAGTCTGCATCTGAAGTTAGGACAAGCCCACCCAGGTGACTGACAACCTTTTAATTCCCTTTGTGGAATATCCAGGAAGTGAGAATATTCTGCAGTGACTTCCTCTTATGTGGCTATAGAAAATACTCCACGCCTCCAACAAACAAGACCCCATGATCCCTGGAAATCAGGGGGAGAGACCTAAATGCATCTTGGAGCACTGAGCGCTACTCAGTATTGTATAATTGAAAAAAGAACAATGAGGATTAAAGAAAGGGGGAAAGAACACTATTTGTGGGCTTAACAGACATGATCTATGTTTTTTTTTTTTTTTAGTTCCCAGTAACTATCTAGACAGTATTCTATGAGATAAGCATTTTGTGGTCCAAACAACCAACTTACAAATAAATTGAAATAATGCTTCTTGTTTGTTAATTGGTAATACAGAAATGTTTCAACGCCTAAGTAAATTACAGTCATGAGATTATGAAGTTTTCTTAAATGTTTATTACTGTAGAAATCCTGACAGAACATGGCCTTTCAGGACTCTGGCACATACAGCATCTTCATATGGTTCAACTGTGTTGCTCTGGCTTTAGTTCCCTGACGAGATAGTAAAGCTCCAGGCTTATTTGCAGTTGAGGCTGTATTGTAAGAGTTCTTTGAAATTTTCTTTGCAGTTTCCACACGGGGTAGCCAGAGAGTCTTTGTGGTGGGGAAGAGTGAGCAAAGGGAGATGTGCAGGAGATGGGTCTTCTGTACAGCAGATGTTCCAGAGCAAAGAGGGACAGGATGGAACTAGCCTCTACAATACTGCTTATACACCCATGTGTTACTTTATTACTTACCAGAACTTCCTTCTACATTTGCAATAGATATAAGAGAATGAATTATCAGTATCTCACCATGAAATAGAACTTTCATATGCTTTGTACTTTGGGCTCAGCATTCAAATGCTTTCTTCAAATGGAAATGCTGTTCCTCTTCATCAGTACAAGGGCTTACTCAAGGCTCCAGTTACTGCCTTGGTAAATATCTGTTGAATGAATAAATGTTGCTAGGTCTCTAACCAAAGCCTAACTCAAAGCTTGACTGTCTGCTACATTCTAAAAATAATAATAATAAAAAAAAGAATGCCCCAAATCCCTTTCTCATCCATGCCACTTTATAGACCTCCCTCCCAGGACTATTCTGATTCCAAATGCTGGAATCTAGCTTCCTATAGTTTCATCTCCATATCTCTGTTAGGGACAGGAAGAACAATAGAGAAGGGGACATATTTTGAACTAAATCATCTCTGATTCTTTCATAGTGAAAATTAGAAAGCCAAATACCCCTTTAATTGACCCATTTGTGAAACAGTTATAAACAAACCCAAAAAAAGAAAAATTAAGGGTTTTTTAATACTACACTAATAACAATAAGAAATAAGAATAAACTTTTGTATTCAGAGAAACGTCAATATAGAATAATTCTGATATCTGTTAAATTGGAAGCAGAAAGGGATTATGGATTTTACATGAACCTCTATTGCAATGGATTATGGAAGGAAACTTAATATTATTGCCTTTGATTACAGACCCGCAAAGTAGGTTTGAAAAGTAAAAAAAAAAAAGAAAAGAAAAAAGAAAAACAGAGAGCACACTGCATACTGAGATTCCATTTCAATAGATATTGGACTATACTTGTCAGAGATTCCAACAAAGCTCTCATAATGTCTTAGATATGGCAGAGTAAGAGCAGTGGATATAAAATGCACCTATTTCCCGTAAAAGAGAACAAAAGATTGATGCATTTTATCACAGACAGTAGGAAATGTTTTATTCTGTAAGTTATTTGATTTGATTTTGTTCCTGCTGTTTGTTTTTAATTAGAGGGAGAAGCATTTCCAAATTTAAAAAGCTAAGGAACATCTCCAGGTCTTAAATAGCTAAGTTCAAAATGACTGTATAGTATTTCTTCAGCTTTCCCTTCCCATACCTATTTCTGTGCACATCAGTCACCTTTCCACTTTGAATTACAAGCCCAAGTTGGACTTGCTCATGAGTTTGCTATTACTCTGTATGGATAGAAATCTGTTTGGTTCTATTGACTTGACAAATATTTTTCTTTCTCATTTTACATGCATTATTTTCAGCCCACAGAATCCTAGGCAAAGCCTTGCTATAAAAATCCCTCTTGTTGAGAAGAGCCCATATGCCAGGATGTTTGTCTGACTTCACACAACAGGAACCAGAGGGCAATGCCCACCTTGGCAAGTGCTGGCCAGGATTAACATGATGGCCACCTGCCAACAGTAACTGCATGACAGAGCTCTGGTATGTCACTGCATTCAAACAAGGCAGTATTTGCAGATTATGAAACATTTTGAGAAATAAGCATAAAACCTCTAAGCACAAAATCTTATAAGTATCTCTGCTCTAGATGAGGAGAGGAGAAGCATGGAGAGGAGAAGCATCTATCTTCAATTTTTGAAGATTTTATGCTAGGATTCATCATTCGCATACTCTCTACGCCCAGCATCCATGACTAATTGTACTATGACTAATGTTGTATCATTCTTCCTATGCATTCTCTATTTCTTTCCTAGAACACTTGAAGGATAATTTAGAGGAATACATGGCTCGGTTTTCCAAAGTGAGAATTGTTCGTACCAAGAAAAGAGAAGGACTCATCCGGACCAGACTCCTGGGCGCATCTATGGCCAGAGGAGAGGTGCTGACATTCCTTGACTCCCACTGCGAGGTCAATGTGAACTGGCTGCCCCCACTCCTTAGTGAGTATAATTGTCACTGAGGCACTCTGGGAACTTTGGGGGCCACAAGAACTACAGCCCTGAAGAGTGAGAGCAAGGTGCTGCAACAAAAGCTAGAGACCCTTCTGTAATTTTAGCAGAGAGATCCTTGAATTACTTCTGAACTGCTATTGAGGATAAACAGACAACTAGAAAACCACATTGAAACTGATATTTTAGGGCTGGGGGTACAGCTTAGGGATAGAATGTTGCCTAGCATGAACAAGGCCCTGGGTTCAATTCACAGTACTGCAGGGAAAAAAAAAAGGTAAATAGTATTTTAATAATTTAAATAATATCAACTCTAAGATTTTAAAAATTTTTTCATTTATCTTAGACATCCTCCTTTATAGTAGTTTTATTGTAGTTACATTCATTGGGTAAATACTAAAAATGGACTTTTTTACAGTCATCTCTTAATTACAATAAGACTCAAATGCATATATTATACTTTAACAATTATTACAGGATTCTTAAAGAAAAGAGGAAGTAAAATTATTACAACCCAGTATAGAGTTAAAGTTAAAAGCACTTTGCCATTTTCTAGGATTTATAGTGACATTTTTGTTGTTCCTTCCACTCCTGGCACCAGCCTATAACCCTAAATATAGAGATGCTCTCAGTATGATAGATCTTAAGTGTTCTTGCTGTGGCTAAAAGGTGGGGAAGAAGGGAGACTGTCACATGGCACATGGACTATTAGAAACATGAATGAACAGAAACTAATTCAAGTGAGAAATGTTAAGTGTGGCTCAGTTCAAGCTCCAATATTTTTGTTTTATTTTACACTGAAGTCAGCTATAAGTTGTAGCTAAGAAATAAATCGTATGCCTGAGGGGGGAAAAAAAAAGATCTTTCTAAAAAAAATTTTGGGTGCACATCATTGTACTTCTTTCTGTTCTTCCAGGTTTTGCCCAATCTTCTTTTATTGTAAATAAATCCCTGACCTCAGAACTAGAGGCAGTAACAACTGCCTATACAATAGCTGTCTCAGGAAGAATGATTTGCCGTTGAATACTGTGTAGGATTTCAACTAGAACGAGCCAAGCTCCATTAGTAAAAAGATGGGTGGGGAAGGGGGGAGGATATTGATCGAAACTGTGTAGGATTTAAAACAGAGAACAACCAGCAACCAGCAACACCCCCACCACATTGCCCATCCACACACCCCTGTACAGATGACTGCCAGCCATCCCAATCAACAGGAATGTTTCAGTCTCCTATAGTCAGAGACTCCTCTGAGCTTTTAATTAAAAGTACCTTGTTCAAGGACATAGCAATTTAAAGCTTCATCAGCAACAGTGAGATCCCCTCAAAACTGAATTTGACCTATATGGTGTTGAATACTCAAGGAAGTCAGCAAAAGGCCTACCTTATTTATGAACCAAAGCAATCCCTAAATGCCAATTATGGAGTCTCTGATTGTTCGCTAGGAATCTAATAGAAAGAAAAAAATGAAGAAAGAGGGAAAAAAAAAAGAAAAGAAGAGAAACCCACAACCCACTTTTTCTCATTAAAGCATTTCATTTCCTGTAGGCCTGATGGATAAGAAATGATTCAACCTCAGGATCGCTATCTTTTTTTTTATTTTCCTCTATCAGTGTCTTGACACATCATCCAAAATGAAAAAACAGGCGGAGCCACACAGTTTTGTGGTTCATTTTTCACCTTGGGATTATACCTGAATTTCAATTTCCTATTAAGAGTCTGTTTGTTTGATCCCTGGAAATTGAAATGTAGGCACAAGCCTTGGATGAAAAATTAGTCATGCAGCTTTCACCCTAAGCTACTACAGCTGGAGGAGAACTGAAAGGAAATTTGAACGGAAAGTTGACAGTTAATTTAACAGACTCATTCTCTTCGGGTCACCTTGGGACTCCTTGTTGGTCAAGGAACTTGTAAATCAATCTGATTCTGAGTTTGATTGAAGAAAGTCAGTGAAACCTTAATACTAAAATACCTACAGAGGTGATAGAGGAAATATATCGGACACAGCACTGATGGTCTCCTCTGTCAAAGACATCTCTGGGGAAACACCATTTATATAAAGATTAAAAACCATTAGAAGGCTTGCCCAGGTGAAAATGGATGCTTAGAGAGCCCTTGGTGGAGGTGAACAGGAAATAGTGCTGGGAATCTTTCCATCTACTAATTAGCAGACGGGAGCCATACTATCTAAAATTGCAACCCTTTCCACACCCCAGCATTCCATATTCCCCTAACCCTATTTTGTTTTCTTTCCATCTCATTTAACACCTTTTAAAGCACTAGAGAATTTAGTGATTGATGTTTTTAATGTTTGTTAAATGTTTTTTCTTCATTCCTGAAGACAGTGATGTTTGCATTGGTATTCACTGCTGTAGCTCCTAGGATAGTGACTGGCACACAATTTTACCTCAAATAAATAATTATTGAAATACAAATGAATGAAATGCATGTAGCCCAGAAGCCAAGATCTTCAACAGAATTTTGTGGTTTCTACATCTTGTTTTATCAGCATCATCAAAACAAGGCCACTTGTTATTACAGCTAATAAAATCTTTTGCTTCCTGCCCTATGCTTAGGAGAAACTTGTGAAGCAAATGGATATCCTCCATACTATAAGAACTTATCCCTGACACAGATTACATTAACTTCTGGATCTCTGGGAAAAAAAAATATAATATGGAAATAAGCAGATCCCAGAATATTTCAAAATGATACCCTTTGTTTAATGTCACATTCCACATCCAAAGGTCTTCCAAATAACAAGAGAGCAGATGTTCCCACTTAAACATTCTGTGTGTCAGACAGTATTGGTTTGTTATAATAAATATTGATTAAATGCACATTCTTGGGAAGGTGCTTCACACACAGCTTTTCTATGTGAACCCAAGTATGTTAATGTTAGTTCCCTGTGCTGACTGACAATATCATCACAATAACAATATCTACATGGGAAATGAGAGGGGAAAAAATCATCTCTGCTACAATGAGAAACACTCTGGCAACCTGGAAAGACTGGGTTTTGAACCTGGACAGTTAAACGGAGGTTCACTGTTTGTGGCCCTCAAAAACTGAGTGACCCTCTTGACAAGTTACTTAATTTTTCTGAGCTCAGTTTCCTCATGCGTAGATTAGGAGTGACAATAATTGCCACCTCACATGGTGTATAGGAGTATTAGAAATAGCATGAGTATAATTCACTTAGCAGTAATTGCTCAAAAATTTAATAGTAGGAGGAGTCACCAAAGTAATATCGTACCACCTAACACTTTTGGGATATGATGTGAGAACATAAAATAACTTTGATAAACAGAGTATGTCTCAAAGAACAGTGACAAAATAGGACTGGACAAAAATCTCTGGTCAGTTGAGAACAAAGAGTTTTGTGTATGATCTGTCAGCATTTAGGGGGAAACAGCCATCGTGACTTATATGATGAGATGCTACAAAACTCATAAAGTTAAATATTTACATTTTGGAACCTCTAGAAAGCAGGCCAATATTTTCTCAGCAGGCTCCAGCTGTATGCTTGAGGGAACACAAGTACTGTTTATACTCTGTGCATATTGGATGCATGATAAAATGACAGATTGGGGACAGGTCAGAGCAAAAATGTGACAGAGGTAGAGCTAAATGGACCTCTGCGAGTCTCTCTGGGACATAACTTTCTTAAGGAAAATACAACAACTCTAATTGTACCTAATCACTGTCCCATCACGTTATGTCCAACATTCAGAGATTCCTGCAAAGTGCTCTGGCCACGACAGGAAGCCAAAGCCGCGAGCATTCTGCATTAGTAGGGATGTGTAAGCTTCTCTTTGCTGCAAAATGATAGATGACCTAGGCAGGCATGTCATTTCCTATTTTGTGCTTTCATTTTTCAGACCAAATTGCACTAAACCACAAAACCATCGTGTGTCCCATGATCGATGTCATTGACCACAATCACTTTGGGTATGAGGCACAAGCTGGGGATGCCATGCGCGGAGCCTTCGACTGGGAAATGTACTACAAAAGAATTCCCATCCCTCCAGAGCTCCAGAGGGCAGATCCCAGCGACCCTTTTGAGTGAGTAGCAGCTGAGGGAGGGGACGAGGGAGAAAGGGCAGGTAACGCATTCCACCTGAGTCAAACCTGGGACCCATGAGAACAATTATCTGTGATAAAATGGAATAAAACAGGTGGTAACAATATGCAAAACACCAGGGAAAGGTCAGATGTACAAGCTGTAGAAAATCACAAGCTGTGCTGAATACATGGATCACCCCTTCTCAAACTTTTGCTAAGCATAACAGAGAGTGTGCAGGGATAAAAAGAATCAGGAAAATGTGCAGTTAACAGAAAATACATGGACAAGAACTGAAAGTTCTCCTTTGAAACATCCTCTTATTTACAATTCTCTGGGAGTTTTTGTTTGTTTTGTTTTGTTCTGTTTTTCCCAAAAGGAGTATTGAAATTAACTATTTTAGTTTTCTTTTACTGGGAATTGATATAAAATGTGAACCAAAACTTAAGCCTACATTCTATACCCTACTGGAAATTGTTAATTTATTATGAAAGGTACTAATCCTGAGTAGGCAATTCTACAAGTTAAATTTGGGGAATTCGATCTAACTGACCCATCTAAAGTAAATATTCTTTCATAACTCTGCCTCTAGTATAACTATTACTTAGAAGTAAAACTTACAACAATAATCTAGCAATTTCTACAAAATTAAATCCTTTTTTCCCATTGTGCACACAAGATTGCATATTTCAAGAAAAAGAAAAAAAAAGACATAATGCTTACTTTGACAACTCTCAGGACCAACCATTAATGGTGAAAGATAAAATGTTATCAACAATTAGGCAGAGATTGCCTAAGGTATAGCATAGCTATTCTACATACTGCACCCTTGATCTCATTAAGTCTATATCATTTTATTATACATTTTATTAGTACAAGAAAATTGTCTATGATCGAGGATTTGCACATTCTGTAAGAGCCCATTTTAAATGTATTCAAATCAATATTGTCTTTTTATCAATAACATGAGCTGTCAAAGTTGGGAGTAGAGAAGATACTGAATACAAAAGCCACTTCTATGATACTAACTCTAAATTCCAATAAACTGTTAATAATTATCAGAAAAATGTTTCCTCCAGTGCTAATCTCTAGAAAGATGGACTCCTGGGGAAGCAGAGGAAATTTCAGAAGTCATTTGCCTGATACAATGGGACAAAGTCAGTTCTTTTGTGAAATGAAGCACCCTCATTAAATATCCAGAGCTTCTAGACTTAGTGATTTGAGATCTTCAGATCTCAAATGACTGGAAAGTTTTTAAAAAGAAATAATGAAGAGCCTTTATTACTCCCTCATATGCACTGGCCAAAATTTCATGCATATTTAAAACTACTAAAGAAGGTTTTTAGGCATCTATATGAAGGAGTTTCTAGTAAGCATTTGAAGTGGGCCCACCTGAGAGATGCTCCCCAGACTTCCCTGAAGGTACCCATCTTAAAGTCTTGGCAAAGAGACTTAAGCCCTTTTGGGATAAATAGTAAGTGGATGAGGCAATGCATATGTTAATTAGGTCAATTTAGCCATTCCACAATACCAAAATGTCTCAAAACATATCATACACCATAAATACAAACAATTGGAATTTACTGAAGAAAAAGCAAATAAGAAAAAAAGTAAAAAATTATTTCAAATCTTAAAAAGAAAGTCGTGGGGGTAGGGGAGTTGGGTGTAGTCGCGCACACCTGTAATCCCGGCAGCTCCTGAGGCTGAGGCAGGAGGATCCTGAGTTCAAAGCCAGCCTCTGCAAAAGTGAGGTGCTAAGCAACTCAGTGAGACCCTGTCTCTAAATAAAATTCAAAATAGGGCTGGGGATGTGGCTCAGTGGTCGAGTGCCCCTGAGTTCAATCCCTGGTACCACCCCAAAAAGGGGAGGTAAAAGAACAAATATGCCCTAAGCACAGCAGAACCGTTATCATACAGACGGCAGCAATTGTCACAGTGCAACTGCTGCAATCCTAGGTTACCATGTTTCAAGGGCTAGAATTGATCCTTGATGACTTTCCAAATGCTGTAATAATAACTGTAATAATAACTAATAATGACCTTTTACTTTACTTGCACCATGATGGCAGAGTGAAACTTTGCTTTGTGAAACCCTGGTACCAAAATGCTACCAAAGGACTCTAACATATTCTCAGTGCCTACACTAACGGTCAGACAGACCCTGGCTGTGGCTATCACAATACCAAGCACCTTGCTTAACCCCAGAGCTGACAGAATTGGTAACTTTCAGAATTAGATTACCACTTGTTCCTGTCACCAATTTAGGTGGTTACTGTCACATCAAAAATTGCACCAGTCTATTGAATATTACCATCGTTCTGCTTTAAGTCCCTTTGATGCCAAAGAATGTGGACACTTTAACCTTTTGTAATAAATGTAACTTCCAGGAGGTGTCCACTTTGATCTTAAAAACTGCATTTCCTTCCTAATAATAAAAGAATGGTTACCCAAGTGCTCAAAGCAGTGCATCAGCAATTCCATTATCACAGCAGTCACCAGAATGTGCTCATAAACAGACGTGCTGTAGGCTAAAACTTGCTTCTCTAAGATGTAAAGCTTTAAGATACACAGAGCAAATGCAGTCTACCCATATATCTCTCTCAAAGTCTTTCATGTTTCAAGAGGCTGCAGGGTTTTGCCATTTTTCTATGGGAAGATGGGGGACGCTAATAAGATGGGAAGAAGGCAAAGAATGAGGATATATAAATGTTTTGCACTCAGCATGACTTTTCATACAATATATATGCAAAAATTATCTTTTTCTAACAGGTTTATCAGATGGCTTAAAGAGGCTACCTGAGTTTGCGTATTTATTCTGCCATTTATTTGACTTTTTCATGACTAATCACTGGATAGAGCAGTGTTTTTCAACATGAAAATCCTGTGAAATGAGTGGAGTATGATCAATATCTATTAATCAATTGATTTGAATTGAATTAACATTTTCTGGGTAGTATACTGTATGTGAGCATGTGTTATTTGTCAAATATTCAATTTCAGTCATAATGCATATATGATCCTGGGGTGTGGCATAAACTGTGTTTCCCAGTATAGCTCACACAATCAAAAGAATTCAAAATCCACCAACTTCCTAAACTAGGAATCAAGACCTTCAATGATCTGACCAGAAAAAAAAAAAAAGGAGAATTGATGCATAACTTTAACAGTGAGAAAATTAAAATTTACTTACACTTATAAAGGAATGTATTTTTTAGACACATGGCTCCCAGAATATGATAGAAAATGTAGCACTACTGATTCTAGTTACTATATGGCAGTCATAATTTGGCTCGGACTGGATAAATTTCAGGAACATTCTTGAGTTTTGATCAAAGAAAACCACAGTGATCACCTTTTTTCCATATGATGGTATGGAATGCTTTTAGGAAATGCGCATTATTCGCGGTTCTTAGACGACATCCTCACTCCTGGGTCATCTTGAATGCAGAGCACTTAATTAAGCATGTAACCTTTTCTGTATGACAAAACATCTCTCTCTTTAACCACAATGGTGAAGGGAAAAATTGCCTTTTGCTATCTGACCACTAACTTCTTCAACCTCATTTGATTGTCTAACAGTTTAGAAAGAACTAGAAGAAACTGTCTTGCCAAGTTTCTTTGTCAATGCAAGCAATCACTAGACAGTGTCCAGAACCGTGTCCAGTCTCTGCTTAAACTCATCAGGAAACTAAATTTGCTGCCTCCAAAGGCTACCCATTCCAGTAGACTTATTGACAGGAACCTTTTTCTTTGCATTAAAAAAAAAAAAAAAAAATCTGTCTCCCTGATCCCAAATTGTCCTACTTGAGATGCAAGGAAAGTCTAATAACTCTTCAATGACAGAGCTGCTATAAGAATTTGAAAACAGCTGCCTTGTGTCTGCCTCCTAGGAGAGAAAAAAAAAAAGAAAAGAAACTTTTTTTCTTTTCCAAGCTAAATATTTCCTCTTCTACCACCATGTTTTCCGGGTCCTCCAGAATCCTGTAAAAGTTCATGCTTGTTGATATAACTGTTCAATAAATAGAAATTCAGTTGACTACTGCAATCTCACCCACGTTTCAACAATTTGTCAACCAAAATAGCAAGAGACACTTTGTCCAATGTGCTAGGAACTCAGATCCTAAAATACAACCTCGTCAGCCTTAAAAGTAAAGTTAATTTACTGGGAATTTGTGTTAGTTCCTAGGGATCATGCTTCCTTTTCCCAAGTCCTCACAATCAATTCAGCAACTCATTCAGTTTTGAAAGTTCACTGTATGTTTCAAAATCCACCTCTATCCTGACTTTGAATTGGGGAGAAATTACTTTTACACTGCCAATCTTCCTCAGATCTCCACAGATCCTCAAAGACTTCCATAACATAGAGTTTGAATCATTCTGGCTGGAATTCTAGCACACAACTGTTAGTGAGGACTAACACCTATTTTCCACCAATATATACCACCAATTTCAGAAATTTCAAAAATAAGGAATCCATTGTTGGGAGGAAAACTTACAGACTACGTGCATCCATTCATTCTTTCAGAAACCCCTACGTGCAAAGGCTTATGTGTTTACAGTCAGTGATTCCTCATCTAGGGTCACTACCCAGCCTAAAATGTTGCTGGGTATGGATAGTAATGGCTTCCACCTATTGTCAAGCACTTCAAGGTTTCACTAAAAACACTGAATATCCCCTGAGGCCTAGGGCCAATTTAGAAATCCTTGTGAGCTGGTTCTGCTGTTCAGAAGCATGAAGCCTAGCCCTTGCTAAAATGGATTAAGTACTACTTCTCAGTTATTGAGACTTATACCACTATTGCATGAAAGTAGAATGCCTTCCAAAAATTTACTGTATCTTCCTTTGTTCTTCCAAAGGACAAAGCAGGAAACTTTTGACTTTCTTTTTTATATAAGAGAATGACAAAGTTTTGATGCCTATGATATGTAGTTGTCAGTGCTTATTAGGAACATTTTTTTTTTTAATTTACACCTGGCGTAGGATATTTTAAATGTGAAATAA